ACCTCTGCACCTGACTGGAACTGGATTGGTGGAAGCTGCCAGCATGGCAGTGGAAGATTGGACCATGTTCTGGACTTGTGGGTGTGGGGGGCAAGATCTTGAACTTTCAACTGGGTGGGGAAAACCGGGAAGCTTTCAGATTTGGATTTTCCCAGATGTGCCAACATGGCTCTCTTAATAAATTGGAACTTTGAGCAATACTTTGCCTCGGACTCTGATTTAATTTTGGATGCTATTTGGAACCCTGACATTAACCCAAAGCTGACACTCTTCTCAGATGGCCCTCCACAGGCCAGCTGTTCCTCCAGCCTTACCTTCAATGATCCCCCACTTGGTCTTGCGGCCCAGGATTTTCTTCCCATTCACCTGGTGTTCCTTGTCTGCACCGACAACTGCAAAGGGGATTTTCTCCTAGATTAAGAGAAACAGAAGCAGAACAGAAACAGAATTAGTTCTGCCCCCTTGGGGAAGGAAAAAAGTCACCAAGGATTTAAAAAGAATTTAAATATGCATCACATTGACACCCTGTTTCCCCGAAAAGAAGACCTCCCTGGATAATAAACCCAATCGGGCTTATGAGCGCATGCACTAAAATAAGCCCCCCCCCCCAAATAAGGCCTTCCCAAAAATATTGCAACACAGCAGCAGTCATGAAGTGACCATGCTCGCCCACTCCTGCACCTCCGAAATAATAAGGCTTCCCAGAAAATAAGGCCAAGCGCTTATTTCGGGGGTCAAAAGAAAATAAGACCCTGTCTTATTTTGGGGGAAACATGGTAGACTCAGAGCATGCACAACTCCTGACTAAACCAAAACACACCTTTAGAATCTTAACGCATTGCAATCCTGTTGAGAATCACCAGCTTATTAAAGGTAGCCTTCAATTTATAACCCCAACTGAGCCCAAAATTTCTGTTGCTAAGCAAGACAATTATTGAGTTGTGCTCCATGAGCTTTCTTGCCGCAGTTGTTAAGTGAATCACTGCTGCTGTTAGAAATATGACTGTTAAGTGAATCTGGCTTCCCGATTGAGTTTGGTTGTCTGAAGGTGATCACATGACCCCGAGACACAGAAACAGCCATAAGTACATGCCAGTTGCCAATGGACCAACTTTTCATCACATGATCTTAGGGATGCTGCAAGGGTGAAAAACATTATTAAGTTGCTTTTTACAGTACCATTGTAACTTTGAACAGTCACTAAATGAACTGTAGTAAATCCAGGGCTTACCTGTATGATATTGCAAACCAAGCTAAAGCCTGTTGAATTTTCCTACAGTCCCTAGTTTCCATCTCAGTTCAAATCACAGTTCTCTAGCCAAACTATAATTCCAGATAACAACATGGACGATTCCAAACTAACCCAGGTAAAGGTAAAGGTTCCCCTCGCACATATGTGCTAGTCATTCCCGACTCTAGAGGGCAGTGCTCCTCTCCATTTCAAAGCCAAAGAGCCAGCGCTGTCCAAAGGTGTCATGTGGCCCGCAGGACTAAATGCCAGAAGCACATGGAGCACTGTTGCCTTCCCACCAAAGGAGGTCCCTATTTTTTACTTGCATTTTTAACGTGCTTTTTGAACTGCTAGGTTGGCAAAAGCTGGGACAAGTCACGGGAGGTCACTGCACTATGTGGTGCTAGGGATTCGAACTGCCAACCTTTCTGATCGACAAGCTCAGCGTCTTAGCCACTGAGCCACTGCCTCCCAAACTAACCCAGAACACCTAACAAAAAAGGCAACTTTCATCCAGATTAACAGATTTGGCCACTGACTGAGAACATTGGGAATAAAAGTTAACATAAGCCAAGATCCATACTTAAAACCTTAAAAGCAAGGATGTTGAGGTTGGTAGAAGGAAGGAAATGCTCTAAAAGCTGTTCTTGAAATGTAGCATATAGCTTTGGCTGAACCCCAAACTCAGCCAGGTATCCTCCATAATGGGCCACCAATGACTTACCCGGATTTTATCATTCAAAAGCCGATCATCTGGATCATCGTCAAAGTCTACTTGGGGGTAAACATGGATGCCATGAGCCTTCAGATCTTTCTGGACCTTCCAAGATAAAATGATAGACATGATCATGACGGGGAGGAGAAGGTTCCTTTCTTTTATTGAAGGACAATAAATGAAGAACAATCTGCATGTTGGGGTTGATCAAGAATATCACAACAGGCTATAGAAGAGATCAGTTTTGCTTCTCACAGGATATTCTGTTCAAATATTCATGACTGGGAGAGACATGGGAACAAGGCCAGCCAATGAATAGGCATAGCAACAAAGTCAGCCAATAGGAGCTTAAACAGATCTGAGTCTGTGCAGAGAATTGAAACAGAAACTTAAGCAGTCTG